CCCATAGCATGATGTTTCCACCCCCATGCTTCACAGTAGGTATGGTGTTCTTGGGATGCAACTCAGTATTCTTCTTCCTCTAAACACGACGAGTTGAGTTTATACCAAAAAGTTCTACTTTGGTTTCATCTGACCACATGACATTCTCCCAATCCTCTGCTGTATCATCCATGTGCTCTCTGGCAAACTTCAGACGGGCCTGGACATGCACTGGCTTCAGCAGCGGAACACGTCTGGCACTGCTGGATTTGATTCCCTGCCGTTGTAGTGTGTTACTGATGGTAACCTTTGTTACTTTGGTCCCAGCTCTCTGCAGGTCTTTCACCAGGTCCCCCCATGTGGTTCTGGGATCTTTGCTCACCGTTCTCATGATCATTTTGACCCCACGGGATGAGATCTTGCGTGGAGCCCCAGATCGAGGGAGATTATCAGTGGTCTTGTATGTCTTCCATTTTCTGATGATTGCTCCCACAGTTGATTTTTTCACACCAAGCTGCTTGCCTATTGTAGATTCACTCTTCCCAGTCTGGTGCAGGTCTACAATACTTTTCCTGGTGTCCTTCGAAAGCTCTTTGGTCTTGGCCATGGCGGAGTTTGGAGTCTGACTGTTTGAGGCTGTGGACAGGTGTCTTTTATACAGATGATGAGCTCAAACAGGTGCCATTCATACAGGTAACGAGTGGGGGACAGAAAAGCTTCGTACAGAAGACGTTACAGGTCAGTGAGAGCCAGAGATTTTCCTTTTTTGAGGTGACCAAATACTTATTTTCCACCCTAATTGTGTGGATGCTTTAAGCATCCACACTATTGAGTTCCTCTTGGGACTTCCGCACACTTTTTGGCACTTAACTACTTCCACAATTTTCAGCCGATTTCACCGTTCAAATTTTAAAATATTCTGCTATTTCTGCTAATTCCTGCTATGTCTTTTGGTATTTTTCACTATTATACTTTTTAAAATATTAAGCTTAATTTGTCCCATTGAAATGAATGGGAAACTTCTGCAATTCTGCTAAAATTTGCTTGTTTCTGAAACTTAACTACTTCCTCATATTTTCACGTAGAACAACCATTCAAACTTTAAAATGTTCTCAAATTATTGGGCTATTCAGGTATGATTCAGCTTTTTCAAATCTTTTACCGTTTTACCTTTATGCCTCTTAAAGTTTTCAGTTGCAAAATTGTGATTTTTCACAAAATACATGCGTTGTTATGGTTGCTATGCACTTGGCTTCCAGTGTGCCACTGAAGGTTTTACAGTCTTCTCTTCATGTCCGAACAACTTCTTGCTACTTGCTCAATCTTCACTCAACTTCCACAAATTATACATCAAAACGTAGGTATTTTTGCTGGGTTTCCAAAAATGTCACTATCATTGTTGTGGGATTTATAGAATTTTGGCAAATCTCCTCAGACCAACACAAAGTCGCAAAACTCTCCATAGAAAGTCAATGGAGAGCTTGTTCAAAATCACCGCTTGATTTCTGTAATGAGAGGCATATTCGAATCGTCATATCTCCTTAACGAAGCAAAGTTAAGACATAAGGCTTGTGCCAATATATCTTCAGACACTCCTGACACTCACAATTGAAGAATTCTTTTATCACCTATTACCGTTTTGAGATGAGTTACTTTTGTTTGAGGGTAGGAAATTCGTCCTTCGCTCAGATTTCTTCAGATTTCAAACTCTGGAAATGAACCACTTTTTTCTCTCGTCATATCTTTTTAATGGATTTCCACAGAGACCTGAAAATTTCCATGATTGTTCACCAAAGCCTGCTGTCTCTTACGGTGAAAGAATGATATTGATACTCCAAATAGATTTAGAGTTAGAAAGCGTTGTTTGAGGGCAAGTCAAGGCAGTCTTTGCTTTGCTCTACTCAGTTATGGTGCATTAGAAGTCAATTATCTTTAATAATTCACATTTTAATGATAAATTGTCAACACTTTAAGAGTCCCCCATCTCTTCTGAACAAAACGGTGTAAGAATGACCGTTCTAGCCCCTACGGTTAGGAAATTATGGTCATTTGTTTGAGGGGAGTCGTCATTATGAGAAATAGACTGCAAAAATCCTGTGTCTCTCTGTGCTGCGTGCACCTGTTTTGGCGGGAAAAAGTGCACAGGCTCTCTGATTGGTGGATTCAAATTCAGCAGCTCCAAGGCTGCTTGACTGAGCTAGAAACTTACTTCTCTGTGTGTGTGTGTGTGTGTGTGTGTGTGTGTGTGTGTGTGTGAGTGAGAGAGAGAGAGAGAGAGAGAGAGGAAGCCTTTTTATGGGATGATCTCATTGTAAGATTCAAATTCAATATATTTAGACTGGTTGACTGAATTGGATCTTGTGTGTGTCTCTCTCTGTGCATGTGTGTTTCCATATGTGTCCATATTTGTGATTGTGTGGCTGTTATATTTTTTTTTGCCAATTTTTTTCATTTAACAAGTATATTTGAGGGACCCTTAGCATGTTCAGCATTTTTTCAGCTGTCCATTTTGCTTTTCCAATTTTTCTGTTTAACTTATTACTATTGTGCTAAATCATACTATTTCTGCTATTTTATAAGATTTGTGCTAAATATAGTATTTCTGTCAAATTATAGTATTTGTGCTAAAACATAGTATTGATTTAAAATTACAATATTCATAGTTCATCACAGTGTCTCTGGTAAATCACAGTATTTCTGCTCTGTTGTACTATTTTTCTAAATCATAGTGTTTCTGTAATGCTTAAGTATTTTTGGCTAAATATATTCTTTCTGTTATCTTATACTATTTCTCCTAAATTCTTGTATTTTTGAGAAGTTATCATGTTTCTGGTAAGTTACAATATTTCTGCTAAGTTCTGCTATGCTATTGTATTTCTGCCAAGTATTATGTTTCCTCTAAGATATTGCAGTTCTGCTAAGTTATTCCATTTTAGCAAAGTTCCTTTGCTTCTGCAAAGTTTTTACAATTTCTGCAACTTTTCAGCTTTTTCAGCTAGTTTTTGCATACAGCTTCACCTTTAAGCATCCACACTGCATTTTCGCAGGAAATGCAAATCTTTCTAGTTTACAAATAAATTCTTTACAAATCCTACCATGTGAATTCATGGATTTTTTTTTCACATTCTGTCTCTCACAGTTGAAGTGTACCTCTGGTGCAAATTACTGACCTCTGTCATCATTTTAAGTGGGGGAACTTGCACAATCGGTGGCTGACTAAATACTTTTTTGCCCCACTGTATATGCTACCATGTACTTACCTAGTGAAACTTGACTGAGTAGCAGTGCGTCACTTCCACTTTGCACAAATCTCAGCACAATCTAGATACAGTTTCACTGCATGGAAGGGGAAAAAGTAGCCGCATCTAAAACAGCTGTCAACCACAGTGGTTATATTGAAATAGGAAAAAAAAAACATCACAAGAAAAAAAAAATCCCTACCTGGAAAAAATGTATACATCAATAAATAAAAGGCACTGTTCTGTGCCATGCAGTTCAGAATCTTTCTTTCCAAATAAACCAATGACATAAAAGTAATGACAGTGCAGTGATATAAACCTTTTACAGTGCAGCTGTATGTCAGCTCATTTTTGGCATTAAGTTTCACCAATTAGTAATGCTATGCTGGAATCACACCACATGGCAGTGACTGTCTCCTAAGGTAGCCTATGTAGTAATATGATAAAACACAGAGTTTAGTTTTATTCAGTGTTGCCATGTTGCTAGCTATATATGACAAAACTAGCGGATCCTGTGAATGTGTAAATAAAGGTATACATTTTGTGGGGACCCTGCAGTTCTGGATTAGTTGCTTAGGATGGAGTATGGTACTCCAGCACTGGAAAAAAAAATAGCTTCCTCTGTAAGTCCTATCCTTGTTTCTGGACATTGCCAATACTGTAATATCATCCTAAAGGAACAACAAGACAAAAGGTGAACAAGAGTGCTTGTTTCAGAAGCTGTAGCCAAGACATCCGGGAGGAGGGGGGCTCACCATGTTTTTGCTGCATCGCTATTTTTGTTTGCCCTGGCTATATTAAACTTTCAGGACTTGCTGCAAAAACACGCTAATCTCCGAGCGCCGTCAGGAACACGTACGTCTGGCTCTGTGGTTTCTGCTGGACGCGGCCTGTGTCGAGTTGAAATTTGTCATATCTTCCTCCCGCCGATGTCTGTCCCCGCTTAAAGTTTTTTCACTGTTATTTGTCAGCAGAGTCTCTCCTTAGGTCACCAGTGACACACCAAGCACTGCAACTTAATTACCCACAAACCTTTGGGAGAAATAACCAAGAAGTCCCTCTTATCACTGGGACTCTTCTGCCAGAGGTAATGTGAAAACTCCTTCCGTGCTTTTACTCTGTCACCATGCATTTCATCCTTGGGGCTAGCTTTTCTTCCTCATCTGACCTCTCTCTCATCCCTCTCCCTCCCTTGAGAAAGTTTCACTTGGTGGCCTTTCTCCGGGGTGACTGATGGCTCCTCTATGGGCAGACTCATCCAGACTTAATTACCCACAAGCCCCTCAGAGGGCAAATGCAGAGTGACCGGCGCATGCGCACTATGTCATCCCCTCTCCCCCTCTTGCTCCTTTAGTCCAGCATCGCTGAGTGGATTGTTAAAGCCCATCCACTGTGTCCTTTTTTTCACTATGTTACATAATAAAACCGCATTTGTTTTTTGGGCGGGTGTGGATGTGGGGGGTTCTTCCTTGGAAGAGGATGCGATTAGCATAAGTATTACCCCCACCCCCACCCCAGTTATTCCAGTTTAACCAGACTTCAAACCAGCAGAAATGTTCTTGTTAAATTTTCAGACAGACCAGCGGGGCCTCTGATTGGTCACAGTTAAGCTTCAGTGCTGCTGGCTAACAAAGTTTGTCATGCCCAAACACCCAAAGTGGTATTGTGAAAAAAACAAAACCCCAAACATGGGATTGTACACTCCAAATCAAGACAGAGGCTACTTGTATTCCTCCGCAAATGCCCTTGATGCAGCTCACACCCACACACAACACACCGGGATCGATTTGAAAATTTATTTTCATATAAAAAAGACACTATGAAAACATTAGAGGACTACTTTGTACAATCTTATGTATAAAAAGAACAAAAATGGAGAAAGGGATGAGTTTTCAGTAATAAACCAGGAATGTTGGATGGTTGTAGCAGTCGGGTTAACACTGAAGCATCAGGGTGGAGGGCGAAGGTGAACATGGGGTGGGGGTGGGGGGGGTTAAGTTGGCTTGAACATGGAGTTGAGTTGCAAATTTTCTCTCCTTAGCTTTGTACTTGTTTGTGTGGGTTGATTCTTGTAAGACTGACAGGAAGAAAAATTGAGATGGCATTCTGACCGGCATCTTCTCGTGGTTAAATATGCATCGCAGAAGAGGAAAACGTTGAAGATTCGAAATGTTAAGACCCAAGATGAATATCTCAATCAGACAGGCAGCGTCTCACTTACCATTTACTCCGAGAAGAAAACTTAAAAGCCATTCATCACCGCGCCTGAAGCTGTTCACGCTGCAATAAACAAATCGGGGAGGGGGGCTGTATCAAAACGTCACATTGTGTGAAAATCAAACCTGACTATTGTTGTGGGTTTCTGATGGGAAGGGGGGGGGTCTACAAATGATTGGTTTCTCATGGACTCACATGGGGGCCTGGCAGACAGTCGCTTTGTTCTGTTGGACACACTGTGCAGTAGATCTGGAAAAGCAGAGCCTCCTCACAGAAGGTCAGGTGAATGTGACCTTAGCTCGGCAACTTGGGATCAAACCTATCTCGCTCCTCTGAGAGAGGGCGAGCTGTAGGTTTGCTTATCGGCTGATTAACTTGAAAGGTTAGGAGGGCCGCGCTCTTGTCTCACCATCTGCGCTGTGCTGCTCTACTACCACATTAGGGATCTTTAAACAGATGGTTTGAGGGCTGCATTGGAAAATGTCAGGACAAATCGCCATCCCCGGATAATTACTGTTTTTGAGCGCTCCCCTTCCTCGGCATCTCTGCCTGCCTCTGGCTTTTTTTCTTTTTTGCTGTGTATATTTAGAACTTTCCTCCTCGGCTACCATTTTTCTTCGTTTCTTCACCCATAAGCTGTCTCTATTTTTTTTTCTATCCACACTGTTAGATTAATGGCAGCTGCTTTGAACATAGACAGAAAAGTTATGGAGCTATCATTTGAATTCATCCTGCACTCTCTGACACTTTCTCTCTGCTGGTGTGTGGAGGACTGATGTGCTAATGTAGCAGCAGCAGAAAACTGGTCGTCCTTTTGTAACCGCTGAAGTACGGAGGTAGAATGTCAAGCAGAAAACATCACCATCGGCTCCTCCTCAGTCTGACACCTTGTAGCCTTATAACCTGTGATTCCCTCCCCGTCTTTCTGCGAGCGGGGAATTACATATCTCTGCTCTGCTGCTAGACTTCATGCCTTCTAGGAGCACGACACTGAGTGGGCAGAGTGAGCAACAGAGGAGCGGCGCTGTAAGCAAAGAAAGGCATGTTTGTAGAGCTCGTGATGAAGTCCTCGGATCGTGTGATGTCTCATTACTGGATTCAAAATCCTCCTCAGGTCATTTGAAGCTAACAGAGGTTTTTTGACTGGGGGAAACTGATCAATTCTTCACTCTAAAGCAGCACATTTCTCAGGATCTCAAAAGCATTCCTTGTAGGCAGAAGTGCCTGAGATATTCTTCTTTTCTGGCTTTACTACGACTGGTGATGGTTGAAATGGAGTCAGATATTTAAGTCTTGTACTACTCTTTTCTTTAAGCAGCAGAGGGGAAAAGAAGGAGATGCATGAATCTGCATGAGTCGCATCCTTTTTTGTTCCCTCTATTGGGGGCAGGGGGCGGGGGATCTCACGTGGTGCACATTATGTCAGAAAGCAAGCTCACATTTATGTGCTGTGTAACTGTTTACAGGAAATAAAACAAATAGATATATAATAAGAATGAAAAAGCATCACAAGCACAAACCCAACCAAATTCTCCAAATGAATCGATTCTTTTTTCATCAATGGGACCATAGAACACAACTCGGTTGGTAGTTATTTGTTTCAGTCGTGTTATTTTTCCTGTAGGGGAGGACATTTGTTTTTTATTTTGGGGAACCAAACCATAAAAAAAACATACCGAGTGAAGGAATGTGATGTTAACACAAAGAGTGCGATAGGAACGGGTGAATAAAAGTGTTGAAATGAAACCTGAAAAACAGAAGAGAGGATGGCACATATCATCGAGAGGCTCTGTCCCCACCCTCCGCCCCCACATTCCCTGTCCGTTCAAATAAGAAAAAAAGAAAAGAAAAAAGGAATAGATAAAGACTGACCAATTTGATTCTCAAGGGGGAAAGCAAATTGAGAACAGGGTGCCTTGGAAGGGAGGAGGAGGGGAGGCTACCCAAGTGTGAGAAACCTCAGTGAGATCTTTTCCCCTTGCTATAAAACAAATATCTCCCACCCCCACCTCAAAGTCATGAAACAATTGAAAGAGGTTATCTTTTTTTATCTTCTCCAGAATAAAATCAAGACAATTTCTCGGAAATAAGTTTCTCATAGTTTTTTTTTCTTTTTTCTTTTAAAGTTCATTTAAAAATCTTCTCTTTTTTTAATCAGTCACAGACATGTCAAGCCCCTGTTCTTTCTTTTCAATAGTCTTTGCGAAAATATAGAGTAGAACAGTCTTCTTTCCATGTCTGTCCGCTGCAGCAGTAAACATACACTATGGGATCCGACAGAGCACATCGCAGGAGATGGGGAGGCGGGGAGTAGTAGAGAGTGTGTGTGATCCTTGCAGAGAACTCGTGTACCTATGTATAGCTTTTCAGTAGTCCGGTGTCTCTGTGTGCATCTGCACCTCGGCACGAGAGAGCGTGTCTGTTTCAGTGGGTGTCTTCACACGTCTGCGTGTCTTCACACTTCAGTCTGGAAGTCTCCCTCGGATGAGTCGGGGGTGTTAGCCGAGGACGAGTCCCAGTTTTTATTGTGCAGTTCCATCCGGTCCTTCTGCTCCCCGGGCACGATGGACAGCTCGGGGGTCATGGTCTTGAAGCTGTCCCAGGAGCTTTGGTCCTCTGGGGTTGACTTGTCCTAATAGAGAAGAAGGACAAAGAGAGGGGGCAGGAGGACGACCATGTTAGGAAAATTCTGAAAACGCTTTCATGCCGTCTGATGGAGAATTACATTTTACAAGATAATATTATCCCCGTATCTTTTCCTAATTACAGGCTACAACTAGCACTCATCTGCTTAGTTTAGTGTAAATAAAGAAAAGAGGAAAAAAGAGGAAAAGGAGGTTGATGACCAATGAGTGATAAGCAACATGCTTATCACTCATAAAAAGGTCTACCGAGTGTAATTTGTGCAAAAACTGAAGTGTAAATGTAATTTCACGAGAGAGATGTTTTAGCAGAGCACACGCACCACCCTAGGAAGTTCGGTTTCATTTAACGACCAGAGCAATAACCGCGTTTCACGAGATATCAGAAGTGCAATATTTTTCAGCCTGTGTACCCGCTGTATCTGTGGGTAACACAGTCGTCATGTAAAATAAATGATCGCCACCAGCACAGGGGAGCGCTGACGTTTGGTTTTACCGGCAAATAAAATGATTTCGATAATTAGACTGAACTGTTGAGTTGTTTACCGTCCGTGTGATCTTGTAACCGCTCTCGTTCCTTGCCAAGTTGGACTTGTAGCGATTACTCTTGGCCAGTACCAATCACTGATGGATGTAATCTCACTGCTTGTTTCATTTTTTTCTCTTTTTTTTTTGATATATGTGTATATCAACACGATAACAGCTTCTGGGGCTTCCTGGTGACAGGATTTACATTTTTCGTACTTTTTTTCCTAAACTAACAAGCTCATGCCTTCTGCTTCTGGGTCTGTGATGCTCTGTTTTTCTCTCGCTGCCAATTATAGCATATTGGCTTATCTGTACATCCAATGTCTGAATTTGGATTTATGATTGTGGGACTGAGATCTGAGCTCATAAATCTGGCTCTGATATTACATCACTGACCTTCAACAGCTTCTCCCCCTGCCTTAATCTAGTCTTCATTCAGACTTCAAAGTAAAAAATACAGCAACAGGGATATATGATGAGTTTGCCAGTACAATGTTAGATACACTCACCAGCCACTTTGTCAAGTACACCTGTTCAACTGCTCATGAACACAAATATCAAACCACACAATCACACGGCAGCTATTCAGCAATCCGAGACCATGTCTGCATGCCTAAATGCTATTAAGATTTTTCTGCAAAAAAATACTCTGGATTTACAGAAAACATTCCAAAAAAGAGAAAATATCCAGGAGCAAAAATGCCTTGTTGATACCAGAGGACACAGGAGAATGGTGAGGATCCTTTGAGTTGATAGGAAGGCAACAGTAACTCTCATAACTGCCCGTTACAAATGTGCAAAAGAGCCTTGCTGAATGCACATTATGTTGTGCACCTTGATACAGACGGGGATAAAGCAGCAGAAGCTCACTCCTGTTAGCTAACATCAGGAAACTGAGGCTACAATTTGCATGTAATCACTAAAATTGGACAACAGAAGATAGGAAAATCATTGCCAAGTCTGAATTGTTTCTTTGTCAATTTCTGCTTCTGATATTTGGACGGTCGGGTCAGAATTTGGTGTAAACAGCATGAATCCATACTGCCCTGTATCATCTCACTGATCGTGGTGTAATATTGGAGGGGATATTTTGCATCACTGAAACATCACAGTATATTTGAGTATAGTTGCTGACCGTGTCAGTCCCTTTATGAACACAGTGTACTCATCTTCTGATGGCTGCATCCAGCAGGATAACGCACCAGGTCACAAAGCTCAGATCATCTCAAACTGGCTTCTTCAACATGACAGTGAGTTCATTGTAGTCACTGGCCTCCACAGTCAGCAGATCTCAATCAATTAGAGCATCTTTGGGATGTGGTTGAACAGTAGATTCACATCATTGGTGTGTGCCTGACAGAGCAGATCTGCAGCAACTGTGTGATGCTATCATGTCAACATGGACCAAAATCTCTGAGGAATGTTTCCAGCACCTTGTTGAATCTATGCTATGAAGAATTAAGGCAGTCCAGTCGGCAACACAGTATGTGCAAGGTGTACCTAATAAAGTGTCTGGTGAGCATAATTAAATCAAAGAAATACGAATAATAGGAATACGAAAATCGGGAAAATGTTTCAAAAAAATCCTGTAAAAACAATTCAATGGGAACATTTTATTTAGCCTGCAGGGAGTTTTGGAGACGGATACACCGCAACATTCAACAAATCAACAAACAAATTTCTTAGCACTGCACTTACAGGGTTGTAACAGTGCACTAAATTAGCATTTCCATATGAACCTTGATTTCCAAGTTTTGATATGGGTAAGTTGCACAGATAAAAAAAACCCCTATATATATATATATATATATATATATATATATATATATATATATATATATATATATATATTTTTTTTTTTTTTTTTTTTGTCCATTTCAAATCTCACTGTAAAGGTTCTTGCACTGATTGTTGCATATTACCATCAACAGAAGACAGTGACATTTACTCTCAAGTGAAGATTAAGGAACGTGGACAAGATTTCAGTAGTTACCTATCAAAAATGCTACCTCTGCTACCTCTGATGTGTGCCATTTGCAGAAATCTTCTGTCTCCTAACTCTCTAAACCAGAAATAAACTCACAAAAAGCATGAAAGCTTTTAAGCACGGGGTCTGTGATGGAAGCGTGCGGCCTGCAGATGAGCCCGCCATGCATGTAAAATACATGTCGGGGGATTAGCCAAAAAATGGAATTAGAGGAGGTGGCATTATTCATCAGATAAGGGCCATTATTCAAATTGGACTCGTTATCTCCCAGCAATCTCACACAGTGATTTCACAGACACAAACGGGGAAAGACACCAGGGATCGCTGGAACAAATGACTCTTGGTGGAGCAAAAACATACAAAGACAAAAGAACAAGGTGGACCACTTGTGATGCTTTCCAGACACAATGAATCCAGCTGCTTTGTTCTTACTGAGCTGGAAATTCATCTTCTAAAATAATCATTCAGAAGATGAATATTTAAAGTATTTTCACTGGTCATCTTGAGAGTAGATGCCCGTCTGGACATATAATTAAGAAGAGAGAGAGCTCTACTGTTTCTGTTCTTCATCACCACCTCCCAGTAGCTCTCTTGCAGCTTTCACTTTTTTGTTTTGTTTTCCACAATCTTACCTTTGCTTTATTTCAGAAACTCCTCTGAAGTACTCACATATAACTCATTTTGAGTTATTCACACCCTCAGTCCCTGTCTGTCTCCACACACACACACACACACACACACACACACACACACACACACACACACACGACTCATTGATCTGCAGTTGCACAGCACTCCCCCCCCCACCCCCTCGCAGTGTGTGTTGATCGTTGCTGAGGCGCTAGGGGGCAATATCTGCCTGATTATCATTCTCCCTGCGTCACAGCTTGACAGTTGGTAAAATGAATACAAAAGGCATAATCTAGGAGCCAATTTGCATGCTAAATGCTGGCGAAGGAACATTTTGTAATGCAGGACTGTGGGTAATGCTGCAGTTAAGCCCAACTTTATCCCTGGGAGACTAGGTTAACGCGATTGTGCTGCTACTGCGTGTCTACCCCTTCCCGTTCACCATCTCTGCCTGACTCCGTTCCCTCCTTGCCCTCGAGCCCCATCTCATCCCGCTCTCTTTGCCAGAAACCCCCTCTACTTACACTCGATGAGTTCTTTTCACCGCCGGCAGACGAAATGCTCCATCGCTTTTCCCTCTGTGGTGATGAAATGGGAGGGAGAAGACAAGGACGGGGTGAGAGGGAGAGAGAGAGAGGAGGACAGAGGAGGAGGGAGTGGGGTGAGGGGGAGGTGGGGGGTGAGGATCACAGTCACTGACAACTCTGCCCTGAAACAACAGCATTGTTCCCACACCTTCATCAGGTGAGCAGGCAGTTGTTGCTTTGAGCTTACACCTTACCCCTCGTCTCTCCCTGTCTCCATCTCTCTCACCAGCTCTCACGAAAAAAAAAAAATATATATATATATAACACACTCACACACACACATCATGCACACATGGACAGAAACAGTGCAGACAGTGATCAATGTCAGCATGGTTACAGTTGAAATGTGTTGGAACAGCCTATATTTTCAATATCCTGATCCGTCAGTGCTTAGAGGTGAACTGTGAATGCGAGGACAGAGTGAAAGAAAAGACTTTACATGCTACACAGCTGACAGTAACTAACAGTAACTACGACTACTATATAAGGGATGCGAGTATGAGTATAATCTCATTCTTGAAGCCCTCCTGCACAGTGCTGGAGGGCTTTGAAGCTCATGTTTTTGGAATGATGTTGAAAGAAGATAACTAATCTGGTTATTAGTGCAAGGAAATGCTATCTTCGCTATCTGCATTATTGATTTTACACTGTAGGTGTTAACATAGCACATAAAAAAAGTTCAAGCTGGGCTATAAAGTGGACGCTGCTGACTCTGAAGGTTCTGCCTTTGGCTCAAATACATAAACCGTGTTTCCCCGGCTGTAACGTTGCAATGTTATCCTTCTTTTTTTTTTTAGTCCAAAGGCATCTGGCATTGGAGTTCTCTTGGTTATTGTGCTGACAGATCAGCAGCTTCATACAACTATGTGTTTATGCCACGGTGAGCTTGAGGTGGGGACTCATTATTTGGACTCTAACTCCCAGCCCGCCTCAGGAACGGCCCCAGATTGATTCCCAGCAGCAGTTAATATCGAACATATTGACTCAAGATTTTCTTTTTTATCCTACATAGTTTTAAGTTTCTGCAAAAAGTTTGCAAAACACCCAATTCTATGTTCGTATTTATTCTTTTCTTTCTCTATAAAATAGTGAATTGCACAGCTTTCTTTCAGGGAGAGCTTCGCAGAGTTTGTGTGGGTGTTTGGAAGTGTGTCTTGATGTGTGTGACTAGATAAAAAGATGCAAAAATGGTGCTGCTTTGTTAGATTAAAGAGTCTTCCCCTTTAATGTCAAAAAACCAATGTTCAGGAGTCAGATTTACTGCTTCTTTCTTCGATCATGTCAATATAAGCTGTGAGCAAAATCTTGTCTTGGGCATGTCCACACTTTTTCTAGCTGTTTTCAGATCACTCCCAGGAAGTCCCATTATAATCATATTGAACTGTGATGCTGTTACGGCCCCTTATTTCCTGGATGTGACAGACTGTGATCGCACCATGGATTTCCATATCTGCGCATAGAGCAAACAAATCCTATTTTAAACCACCCACAATTCTTATGGAGGATGATCACTGGTTATAACAGCTGGTTCTCCAGCACCAACCGTGCAGCTTTCATGTCTTGATGCACGCTCAATCATCCAGGTACGGAAATAGCGCAAAGTGGATTCTGTTGCAGCGTTTTCAGTGGGAGAAACTGAAAACTGAACTACCTTTGACATGAAGCCAACATTACAGAGACACAAGGGCAACTGGTCATAACGAGACTTCCGGGGAGTGCCCTAAAAACAGCAATCATGCTGAAAGTGGTCCAAAGTGCACAAGAAGACTTTGATATACCTTATTTATATGCGTCAAAAGCCACTAGAAAAGCCAAGCATATTAGGGTTTAGGCAATAGGTTAAACTTAATGGACCATTTCTGAAGGCTGAATTTATGGCTCATTTTTCTTACATGCTTCAGTCATGATAATGAGTACCTTCATATTTCTGCCTTTCATCAATCAAAATGGCAATTTGCGATTAAACAACTACCCTTTAAAAGCCGAGTTTATGCACAATCAGTGCTCACAACTGTACCAAACAATACAGGTTTACATACCTTCGCAATTTAGCACACAAAAGCAACTCACCTGCAGCGCTCCACTGCTGTTTAATGAGGAATCATGGGGGTCCTGAAATGTACTTTCCATTATATTTTTGCAGATACAGCAGGGGAAAATTGAACTCATGTTGCTACTAGCACTGCAATACCCCAAATACACCTTCTAACGCTGGGTAAAGAGGTTGGAGCCAGAAAGCAGAAAATTTTGCCCTGCACTTAAAAGTTTCAGGCAAGCTATGAGGTAGAAAACGCTACAAGCTGCAAGCACAACAAAGCAAAGTGAAGAGAACACGTAGGGAGTCAGTGGGAGGGTACGCACTCAAACAACGCTACAGCACAAACATCTAAGGCCATTTCTAGAAGCCTCTGCTACAATGTTGGTGGATGAGGCCCACTCTCTGCCACTCAGAACTCCCCTCATTTGGACTGTGGAATTGGAAATCGTGTCTGAGTGTGGGTGAGCAATGTGGCAGGCTGTCTCTGGGAGATGACAGGTGGGTTGTGGGTAAGTGGGTTAACTTTACCTTTGTTGACTTGGATGCCCATGGTTCTGCTGACTGTCTGGCTACATTCAAACTGGGACATGACAACAAGCATGCAACACAAAGCCCAGTCAGCAAACAAAGGACATAAAACAGGAAGAAAAAAAAAAAAGAGAAATCAATAAAATGTTGTAGTAAGGCAAAGAAAAGACACTGAGAATTAGGTTCTTGACATGTGTGAATACATAAATAAACTCAAACTGTGACTGGACATGAAGAGAACTGAAATCACAGTTAAACAAGAACAAAATGAAAGTAACATCAAACAATGCAGGAGCAGATTGAGTGGATGCCAGAATACAACGGTCATTTGCATCTATCAGTGGGCTTCAGGGTCACTGAACCGGACCTTGCCTGTTTCAACATTTCTGTGTGTTTATTTCATTATATCATCAAGGTAATGACTGAATCTAGATTGCCTATTCACCACTGGCATAATATATTAGGTGTTAGGGTTGGGAGGGGGCAAAAATTGTCCATGCATAGCAGTCCTTAGCACCGTTTACCCCCTTAGCTGGGAAAGAATCTGTGTCACAAGTAATAAGGCCCTTCAAAGGAGCCAAATTTGGAGAATGTAGGGTAAATAAATTCCATTAGTGTAACACATTGCAAACAAACGAGCAATCAGACACACAGGCTTGGTTTGCTGCTGCTGTCTGGGCCTCTGCAATCCAAGGCCACTGCTTCTATAGAGAAAACAGTTCCAGTATGTGATTTGGACCTTTTCACCTCCCTTTAATTGGCCCAAGGACACTAAATGAGCTAAATTAGTATTGTGCCTGTTGGTGCACGAAGCCAGTGTAAGGCTTGTTCCGCCTGGACTACCCGTCCCCTCATTAGGAGCCACTGATAGAGCCAGTGTGCTAACGCTATACTTCGCCAAGTGTTCAGTTTTCATGGGCAATTTGTGTGGAAGGATGAAAACAGCTGATGAATTTATACTCGGCATGGAGAAGGGGAGGAGGAGGCAAGGAAATAATTAAAAACAAGCTAATGAGAGGAATTAATTATTCAATTAATGCCTCAAACGTGACACCCAGGGCTGAGTTTAGAGGGAGGAATGGGAAAATGAGGGAGACAGCGAGAGGGAAAATGTCAAGCTGCGAGGACGAATAGAGGGGAGAATGAGATATGAAGAGGAAGAAGAGGGGAGGACTTGCTTTATTGCTGGAATGTGAAATTGAAACTCCTTAGCTTAATGCCGGCAAATTGACTATCGAGACCTACGGGGTTTGCAAGTGCAGGCAAATTGCCCTAACTGAGTCAACAAAAATTGGCTTCTTTGTCATTTAAAATTATACATCTTCATTTTACGTGAAACATTCCCGGAGCTTGCACATTACCCTGGCTAAATTTCCCTACAGTGGCCTCAAAACCTTGCTGGAATATCAATAAATATCACTAAGACAGCACCCAAGTCTCACCTCACTTTAATGGAGAAGGCTAATGGAGTATCCTCCTAGACAGACTATGCACCAATATGCTTCCATATGTAGCCTAACAGACAAGGATTTCATCGTGTAATTCTCACACATCCCTACAGCCATTTCAGGCTGAATTGCTACATGCTTTCATAATCGAAAATTTGCCGTTCCTGCTCTGATCTAGCATCAGTAAAAAAAGAAAATAAAATAAAAAACAAAGCAAGGCTTGTTTTCTCTCTGTCTCTGTCCCTCGCTTCTCCTTTTTCCTTCCCGCTGCGTTCTGTGTAAGTCCTCGCTGTCTATCAGGAGAGGGAAGCCAATCCACGCTTCATTTAATCAAGAACACAGCAGACGATGGGATGGAAATATAACCCATCTGAGAGCTAAAAAATACATCAGCCAAGTCATTATGCAGTGGAAGCGCTCTTTCTCACACTCACACACCCACCGTCCATCCCACACACAGCGAGGCACAACACTGCATCATTGGGCACTGCATGCAAATTTGTGTTATGACCTTCTGAACTCTGTGGAATGGATAGAAAATGACAGGCTAACTCCACAGTGACAGAGGCCAAGAAGCTGTTCTAAATCTAAACATTAGTGTAGACACTAATGCTAATACATACTGTGTTACACGCTCTCTGTCTTTTAGTAACCCCACTGACTCCATTTGTATCCTGCCTCGTTTGTGGAATGCACAATGAAACTACACTCCATCCATCTGCTAGCCATATGGCCCCAGTCAGAGCATCTACTGTACTTAAAACAGAGTAGGATTTGAATTTGTTTTCATCATTAGCATTAATGTGAAGGCCCACTTTCTGTCCACTTCAGCAGAGTGTAACACAAGTGTTATCACTGCAGATATCATTCTCATATGTGGGCAGATGACTTTGTAACTGTACAGAATAACCACTTGATTCCTGGTCAGTAACTGCTGTTCTTGGGTCAACAAAGCAAAATAACAGCTAACAATTTAA